CAATTGGCACTAACAAGTAAATAAATTTACAACAAAAAAAGAACAGTATTAAACTGAAAGATTAAATTGGAAATATGGAGAAAATAATTTTAAAAGATGAGACCTTTAAGAAGAGAAATAATCAAGTTCCAAAAGGCGATCAAAAACCAAATGAATATGATAGATGAGAATTTTTTAGAACTAATAAAAAAAATCAGTTGACAGAGTAGAACAATGTTCTCAAACTAACTGAAAGGAAAGGGGGGGGGGTGGGAAACCATTGCAATTGAGTAGATTCTAGTAACCCTATCTATACTGCTTATCTGAAGCTATAAATCTTGACAAGAATAGTTTCATCTTTCTGTTGTGGAGTAGCTGGTGGTTTTGAACTACGGGCGTAGCAGTTCGTGATCTAATGCTTGTAATGCAATGCCACCAGGACTCCCCTTAATATAAAAATAAATATTAGGTGCCATGGATTCCAACTAACATCAGCCTTATATACAATAGGATGAATCACTGCTCTGTCTTGTACCATCCTCATCCTTTTTCCTAAGACCAAGCTCCTTGTTGCAGCCACTGTGTCAATCTCATTGAGGGTCATTCTTTACACTGACCTTTTCTCTGCTTTACCAAGCATGATGATGTCCTTTTCCAGTAAAAAGTCATTCCTGAAAATATAGCCAAAGTATATGAGGCAGAATCTCACCATCTTTGTCTAAGGTGCATTCTACCTGTCCTTCTTTCAAGGCAGATTTCTTTAGTCTTCTAGCAGACCATGGTGTATTTAATCTTCTCTAGTTCTGTGGCCAAGGGCCTGGCTAAAGTTGGGGGTGGGGGTCTACAGGGTTGGTTCTGTCACTAAAAGTCAAAGGGGGAGAATGAATTCAGGGAGGAAATTATCAGATAGTTACATGAGTATATATTTACTATTCTCCAGCAGCATAATGTCCTTATTGGCCTTTCCTATTAATTGAGAAGTGTTGTAAAATATATTGGACAATCAAATCTTTAATAGTTTGAAAATATTGATCCCAAAAGTTGATACCAAAGAAAAGCCCAAACTCACTGCCCTGGAGTCCATTGTGATTCATAGACTTACACCTTGTCAACACGTCTGTCAAAGTGGGAGGTGTGAGCGTGCTTTTTATAAGTCACTAATAAAACAAGCACATGAAAATTTAGTTTGTGAATAGCAGTGTTAGACTATACCATTAATAAGCTTGATCTAAAGATATTCTAAAGAGAATATGGCATTTAGCTGCTTCAGAATACATGACCCTTTCCTGCAGTTCCTGAAATGTTATGAAAAGTGGTCACATACTAATTCAGAAGTAAGCTAGAAAATTGTCAGAGGATTGTTTTCAAACAGATTGCATTTTGTGACAAAACAGTTTTTAGGAATTAGTAACATTTTATTTCAAAGAGTTGCTATAGATTTCCAAGCATATTAATGCTGTCATTTCATTACTGAGGACAAAAATGGTAGTTTTAGGTGTTTCTATTTCAGGAAATGAGTTTTAAAGTTATCCATGCAAAGAAATTCTGGAAAATGAGGTGGCAGTAGAAAATTAACAAAAGGAGGAAATGGGTTTCCTGCTTCCAGTCTGACGAATTTAAGCCTTCTCCCAGAAGTGCGTGGTAGAACAATAGAAGACAAAAATTAAAGCTTATCTGAAATTGTGATTTGCTCATTGGTAAACCCAGGACAAAGTTAGAAATGATTCCTCAAGCATAAGAGATGTTTGACGTCAAGGCCTGGGCTGAGTATGTGGTGGAGTGGGCCGCAAAGGACCCAGACGGCTTCCTGACGACAGTGATTCTGGCCCTCACGCCACTGTTCCTCGCAAGCGCTGTGCTGTCCTGGAAATTGGCCAAGATGATCGAAGCCAGGGAAAAGGAGCAGCAGAAGAAGCAAAAACGTCAAGAGGATATTGCAAAAGCCAAACGACTGAAAAAGGATTGAAGCAAAGGGGCTCTGCAGTCAGAGAGCAATCACTTGGGAAACACCGTCACATTGGAAGGCCCCACTAAGGTCTTCTCCTTAGATTGTATGACATGTTATTTAGCAGACAGGATCTGACCAGGTTGAAGATCCCCTTCCTCAATACTGAATTCACATTTCATCTTGGGTCTAGTTTGTTGGTGTCGGTTGGCAGTTACTGCAAATTCGCATTTGTTGTGTTTCAAAATTCTTGATAGCTGGCAGTTTTCCAGCATACGTACTGAACCGAAAACATCCCAAACAAACTTTCGATGATGAACTCTTTAAATAATGGCTTGAATTCAGGGGCCCTGCTGTGGACAAAGAAAATTATGATTGTACAAATGAAAATTGCCTTCTTTGGGGAAAAAAGCATGCTTTGATTTAAGAAAGATACAGTACATTTAATCACATCTTTTGCCATTGTTGCTTATTTCTTTGAATAAAATATTTCTGGCTTTCTCAAAGCAAAATGATATTAATGAGTATTTTTATTTTATGCAGTAATGTTCTGATTTAAACTTAAGAAGAATATTAACTATATCAGACATTCTACCCTTTTATGACCTAATTTTACAGAGAGTTTTCCTATTATTTTAATTATGTAAACTATCACTGGCTATAACAAGATGTATACTTATGAACATTGCCACTTTCCTAGAGACAAATTGCTGAGAAGAATAAAACAATGATTTATTTTAAAATGCCGAAGAGAGAGAGAAGCAAATAATAAAAAAGCAGAAATGTAAGAAATAAAATTTTTAAAATAAGTAGATTATAATAAGGAAAATAATCGGTATTATAACTTCTTACACATAGTGGATAGGCAGAAAATTTGGTTTTCTCATATTATGCATTTGTCACCTGTTCTTTCTGAGCTGTCTTTCCAGACCAGAGAAAACAAAGTCTAATTGCCAAGTACAAGGAATGCCCCAAGAGCAGTTTCTATTAGTAGTGTTACTTTTATTAGCTAGGAAGGAAGTTGCTTTTTAAAAAGGGAGGAGAGGGACAGGGGAAAAGTAAGTAGAAAGAGGCAGACAGACAGTGCCTAATAAGATTCAGAGATTACTTCTCTTCCTCAGGACAGCCCTTGAGGACTAGCAGGTAATTAAAGGGCCCAAGTTCCTTTTACTTTGTTTCTCTCTTATCTCATAGAATATTCTCACTGACCACATCATGGGACCTTGCCCAGCCTTTGTCTATGTTTTTTTATAGGTGGGAAGAAGAAAGAGCAAATAGTAGACCCAAAGTTCCTTCATTATGGAGATGGCTCAACATCACGGTCCTTGGAATTCCCTCTCACCTTCTAGCTACCTGTAAACTATTTTCTGTCATCACCTATTAATTTTATGGAGGTTCATTGAAATTAATTATGTATAGTATGTACCTTTCTCGGTCTTGATTTTTTTCCATCAGGCATAACTAATTTTGGGCATTTGTTCCAAATATTGTTAAGGCAGTAGTTTATTCCTTTTTAAATTGTATCCCATTATTTAAATATAATACAAGCTTTTATGTAGCCACATGCATTTTATATTTCTAGAAAAGAAATTACAAGGTCATGCAAACTGGTGCATGTTTAACTTATAAAGAAATTCCCAAGATAGTTGTACTATTTTCTATCCCCATAAGTAGTACATGAGCTATCTAGTTATTCTGTGTCCTCATTAATGATTGGGTATGGTCACTCTTTATAAATATAGCCATTCTAAGAGTGGGGTGTGTTACTTTTTGGTTATATTTTCATTTCCCTAGTCATGTAATGATGTTGAGCATCTGTCATATTTGCATTTACTATATTTTTTTATTCAAGCTTCTCTTCAAATCTTTTGCCATTGAATAGAGGCACTAGTCCATTGTTCAATAAAAACTTGTCCAAATCTTTGAACAATGTGTCAAGAGACAAGTGAAATTTCACTCTGAATGGAAGAGTAATCAGTACAGTAGTAGCTGGAAGTGTGCCCTGCAAGGTAAAAGCCATAACTTTGATATGCCTTAGCATATTTTAATTGACTAGTACATCATAATACCATTTTAATATAGTAGTCATCATACATTTTTATATGTATATCTTTCTGAGATACACTCATGTGTTAGCCCAGGTAGACTAGAGAAACAAATCCATAGAAACTCATATGTGTATAAGAGAAAGTTTTATATAAAGGGCAATTGTACATTAAGAAAGTATCCCAACCTAGTCCAGTCCACGCCCCATAAGTCCAATATTAGCCCATATGTCTGATACCAATCTATAAAATCCTCTTCAGACTCATGAAACACATGCATTGACACCAAATGCAGGACGATCACAGGCCAGTGGGTAGAAAGTCTTTGGATCCAGTGGTGGTGTGAGCATCTCAGCTCTGGCAGGGGTCTCTACGAGACTTCTCCAACTTCAGAGGCATGTTGCATCAGGGTAGGCCCATGTAGCTTCTCCAGCTCTGGGCACTAGCATAGTTCTATGTGTCTTGTCAGCTGAAATCTCTCCCAGGGAATGAGCAGAGAGAGCGTGGTGTCTCCTGCCTCCAAGGAGGAAATCCAGGGTTTCCCAGACTTCTCAGGAGAAGGACATGCCCACAGAGAGGCCTAATTGGGTATATATTGATTGACAGGCCAGACTCCACCCCTTCACTCATAATCTTCTCAAATTGACACCAGATTATGTAACTACCACAACTCATCTTCACCAAGAAATTTATGAAAGATGAAAAGAAAATTTCCTGAAAGATGAAAAATATCGGCAAAATGTTGGTCAAGGCTTGATTTAGCTGGAGAGTCTGTTTCTGATATAGGTCAGTCATGTAGCTGTTGATTAAAAAAAAAAAAACACAGCAACAAGCCACCTGCCTTTGAGTCAATTCTGACCCATGGCAACCCTATATTTCAAAGTAGAAAGGCAATCTATAAGATTTTCAATAGATTGGATCTTGGAGAAGTACAAAGGGATTCAAAAAGTTTGTGGGAAAATTCTTTATATTTTAATTCCATTTTTCAATGAACTTTTTGAATCACCCTCATAGATCGCCAGTTTTTTCTTCTGAAGCTCTGCTGGATGGATTCAAACCACCAATTTATTGGTTAGTAGCCAAGTGCAAACCTTTTGCGCCCCCCAGAGACCTAATTAGCTGTTGATTTAAAGCTTCAATTTCTCACTGGCTGTTAGCCAAAGCCCTTAGTTCTTCACCATGTGTGTCTCTGTACAACCACTTTAGCATTTGCATGGAATGGTATCCTACTTCCCCTAGACTAGCAAGTAATCCCAGGATGAGAATCAGGATAAAGTAGCAGTATCTTCTAGTGCTTATTGCTTACCTCTGTAACTAATGGCAGTAAACCTAGTCCACACTCAGGCACTCAAAGAGAGGACAACTAGTCTTCATCTTTTTAATATCTTCAAAAAATCTGTGAACATATTTTAAACACTACAAGTTATGGACATTAAGAGCACAAGCTTTGAAGTCATAAAAATATAGGTTTGAGTTTTAATTCTGCCACTTTCTCCTATATGATCTCAGATGGTTTTGTAAATTTTTAAGGTTTCTTGGTCACAGCTCTCTACAATTTAAACTTCAGAATATTGGTCATAGCACACAAAATGAAACAAAGCTGTGGATAGCCAAACTTCAGGAAGGTAAGGAATCCCAGGAGCAACTTTACAACCATGTAAACAGCAGCTCTTGAATTCTTCTAAGTGTCTACTGTTAAACAACTTGTCCTTGCTTCTTTTTTTCAAGCTGCCTCTTATCAGCTTAAGAAATGAACTTCTAAGACAGAAAAGTGGCTGATCTTATGCCGGGCCATCTTTAAAGACAAGAGTTGTAACAGAAGAAGTGATCATAATATGCTAGGCAGACAAAAATGTGTTTACAACACATGGACTTTTTAGCTTCCGTTTCCTCACCTATAAAATGGGCACACTCATTTCTTCATTGTGAGATTTAAGTGAGGTGTGGTGGAATTAGTAATAATGATAGTAATCGTTGCCATGGCTTTATGCTGACCACTTTGTTCTGTGTTGGAAGGTGGACTTTAAGTCTCAAACCTTAAGTGGTTCCTTTGATAAGATAATAAAGATGGTCTCCCCTTTTTACTATGAATTGGATAATGACATAGTCAAAGCCTCCCTTATAGCTAGAACAATATGTTCGCGCTCCTCTGGAAAACTTGTGCTATACTCCACATATAAAGCTGACAGTTCCTCACAAATGTATGACTTCGAGTTCAGAGGTTAGTTTTGCAATGGTTTGTGATGTCCAGCTCTTCCTTTACATTCTCTCTGCTTTCATCCTGAATTCAACCAAGGTAGCATCCCTCCTCTGTGGACTCCTTCGGGTGTATTATGACTAAAGGAGACAACACCTCAGTACTATGACATAGTTAGCATATTTCTTTATTCAAGTAGAAAATCTGGCACCAGGTCTTCTCTAGACATTACTACACTGATGACAACTATACTTCAGGAAAACTGAACTCTTAATTTTTCCACTGAAGGGAGAGACTCATTAACCTGATAAAAACAAACAAACAAGCCCCCTTATTTTTTCTAGTTGAATGTTTGTTTCTCAGCATCCTAGGCTTAGCTGGAAGAGGAAGGGAAGGAGGCATTTTTAAGATTATGTGGCTCCCAAAAGATATACTAGGTCAATGGTAAATGACTGTCCTATGGGGACTGGACCACTACTTCCCCCAAAAAGCACTGTAAAAAATGGGAGCTCTTGATTAAGCACAAGGTACTCAATTATTGTCATTTTTTAAATCTTGAAGATACATGTGTTTTATTCTAATAAGATATAAAAGTAAAAATAAGACAAGTTGGTGGTATTATTTTTTTCCCTAATCAGTGTGACTTATTCTTAGCTTTGATCTTTCTGTTCTTTTTTCTTTGTGATTTCAGTTTAAGATTATTTTTCACTCCCTTTCACAAACGGGTGTATAATGTTACTGCTGTGTTCCACAGGGCGCATCTAGCACAGCCCTGTCACTTCTAGTCACTGCCCTTCCTCATCTTTCCGTGGTTGCACACTGGAAATGGGCAAAGCCCTTGTTCCAGGATTTGTAAACCCCTGTGGGATTATTGAGAATGAATGGTGTTATATAAATGTCAGATTGTTTCTTAAAACAATGAGATAATGTCTGTTAAAAGAATTTTAAGTTCCATGGAGAAATGCAGGTCATAAGGACAAGCCATTTTTATGATGCTGT